TTTGGGCATGAGAGTTACTGTGATTGGAAAACAGAAAGCTAAATGTCTCAAAGTTGGACATTTTGTTCGAGAAAACCGGGGAGCTCTGAAGGAGCGACCATGATCTATTTGGACCGTACCATTATCTTAAGGAGTTATATCATGATGATATATTCACGTGAGGTAAATTCCACAGTTTCATAAACATACTCAAATTTCATACCATTCCAAATTCTCTTTTAGGCTGTTAGTTATGGTTACATATTTATTTTATTAGTTAATAATGCTGTTTAGGCATACCGAAGGCGCGTTGGCAGCTTGTACCTTATCCGAGAAAATAGACTCTTCCAAAAGTTCAATTTTTGTTGCGCCCGTTGAACTTGAACGAATTGTATTTGCCACAGGACGGACAAACTTCGGAAAAAAATATGAAATTTCTCTTTTCTTGAAAATGACAGCATTCCTGGCGGAAAGATTCACAGATTATCTGACATTATTATGTACTTACGTCACACTAAGAAATTTCAAGATAATCAACTGTCCCGTTTTTGAGATCTTGCAAATCCTATATACACGGTCTTTAAAGGGTAACTGCTATGAATGTTTTTAAATACAAACTTTCACAAATGCCCTCTGTGTCTCGCTTAACCTCCTTTTCAAGTGCACTTTTTGGACTTTGTTTCCTTATAAATGAGCCGAGCTGTGAACTAAAACCTTAATATTCATTCGTTTGAGCATAAGTGATGTTGAAAAAATGATTACCTACTTGGTTTTATAGTGATTCACTGCCTTATGGGTGCATGCATAGCAATTATTCAGCCAGCAATACTTTCAGAGAAATGTTTTCAGTGACTATAAGCTTTGTTGACCACACAAAGCATATTTTATTTCTATAGGCTGAAGGTGTAATGGGGTTCGTTGACATTTTAACAGCGGAAGAACGCTCTATTTTTTCTTCAGGGAGATTTAGACCATATAATGTAGGACAATAATACAAAGTGAGTCTCTCCTCCCATATAATTCTAATGATATGGCAGGTGAGTATTTTTACCCAACTAGACAATTCCGTGCTACTCTTCCTCTAACATCAAAGTAAAGCGCCCTCAGTTGTCCAGACACTTAGCCTTATACTTAACCTAACCTTAAAGGTCAAGTTCGGGCGGCCTGTTCTGGACACGGGTTTCTTGTTCTCGCGTTCGAACGGCGGGAACACGACACATAAATAACTGTTCTAGGAATAGGATCACACACCACCTCCTCGTCATGGTTTTACTGGAAACACGGAGAAACTCGTGAGATTTGAATTTTGGACAGCTGCAAAAAGTAGAGAGATGGCTTCCAAAGCCGCAGGCAATGGGAAGTTTTGCCAAATTAACATTATTACTTTCCATACCACATCAATGAATGTTCCTGTTTCAATAGAAAAGAATTCGGTCCATTCAAACATCAACTCTCGAATAACGTTGCTTGCCTCTAATTACCACCAATAACCGGTTGTTTGTTCGCGGTGTTCGAGCGGCCAATCCACGAACAACAAATCCAGCTGTTCGTGAACATACGATAACAAGCCGCCCGAACTCAGCCAAACAGTTCTCATAAATGGCATAAGACAATGAAGTTGCTTGTATAAAAAGTCTGTTTACAATAATTTTCATTGCTGCTACTCTTAAATGAAGTTGACTGGGCCAGCTTTATCCATTCATTAGTACACCAATCACTTGGTAGATGCGGTGTGCACCTGTGGCCCAGAGAAAGGGGGAGTTTACGCAAATTTCGCGGTTTAACAACTAGCTCACCAACCTATAGGGATTTTCAAAGCGCTTGCAGATGGTAGTACTCTCGTCGCTCAAAGCAAATGGTTCAATTTGTGTTGGACAGCAAGTTGAAACATGGATAGAAAATACTGCCAAACGCCAAAGTGACCGGTGCCGTGACCACGATGAGCAGGATGTTGATGTCCGTAGACACAGGGGCAGCATCAAAGATCGCATAGCGCCAGTACAGCAATAATGGCGGTGCACAAGTTGTTAACACAATATGGGTGATTCATAATAGTGCGCCTTTCTAACAGGCTAAACGCGCATTGCAGGGGTTGACAGATTTCGTGCATTGTGATTGGCCAACGCGTTGCAAACTCTTGGTAGCGCACTATTATGAAACGCCCGTATTGTCCTGCGCGTATAACCGTAATTGTGAAAAGTATGGGCAAACAATGGGTGAAACGGTAGATGACAGCGCGTTCATTGCGCATTACGCGCAACGCACTTACATTGCCAGTAATAATGTTTTCATGTGCTCCCAAAATACGTTCACTTTTTTGCTCTTCAGTACTACTACATCTTCTATTCAAATGTTGCAACCTCATAGTTTCGAAACCCTAAGGAACATATTAAGTAAAGGGAGGATTTCTTTTACAATCGTAAAATGGCTTCGTACAATTTTATGACTGGAATTCTTCAACTGTGCGTAAATTCCCTATACCGAGGAGTAAATTTGCCCATAGGTTTGATTATAGTCGGGTGCCGCGGAGATCAAGAAAAACCCTTGTAGTTTTGAATAGGACCTGGAGGTCTATGCGTTTATATGGCTGTAATTGTGAGATAAACTTTGTGTGGCGTCGCCCCTACATTACGCTTGTGCCACCATGCTATAGTTCAAGTTTTCTGCAAAAAGATGTAGAAAGAGACCAAAACGGAGAGCAAGTCATAATGGTTCTCGAAATTCGTGACAATCTGTGGTAAAAATTTTTGAGCGCAAAGGTGAACCACTGCATGGATTGAGCCAAAAACATTCGCATTATCCGACGTATAACAACTTTTGAAATATACTTAGCAATCGTTTTTGATGGTTGACACTCAGCCATTCTGCTGTTTGTGAGCTCGAAATATCGCTGTTACTCACCAAGCAGGCTTGTCTGCTGCCACAAGACTTCAGCCAGACTTGTCCAACGGCTTGTCCAGAGGGACGAGTCGCAACAGATGCGGCCAAATGGCAACTAAAGGACGCATGATGTACGGTGGTACGCGTCAGCGACACTGAGCGTTCGGCAGCAGCGTGGACACAGTGGCTGCTTTAACACAAAAGAACGCGGAAGGCCTTGCACGGATCGGAGACCTTGCGCCGATGGACCAAGTCTCGAACCAACAGCCGTCTCCTATGCAACTCCAACGAATACCTACCCTACATGGCCAGAGAGCAAGTTTATAGGCCTATCAAAAACTTGTCAAATGAAGTGCGAATAAATTTCAAATTGCAATGAAAGGATCCGTTTCATGAATTACAAAGCTGGGTACGAAACGGAAAAATCTTTTCCCAAACGGTCCCCAAAATGACACAGTTTCCCCAGGATACAGGGGTAGTTGTTGGGGAATTGGTTTTCCCCACCTGAAACGTCTTAAACACTTCAATAATTTATGCCTGGATCTGTCAGAAGTTATTTCCAACGTATTTAATGCATCCTCTTTCTTCTTGAATATTTAAAGATATTATTGACAAAAGCATCTACAATTATTTACACAATGAACACTGTTAAATTAGAATGAATGAACTTGAAGTTAAATTCCATTGACTGATCTAAGAGATGAAATTGGTCTGTTAATTAAAGTCTCTTTGTAATCGAATTTAGCCACTAATCCAGCAATCTGAGCAAAACAATCCAAAAATGAACTCGAAGAATTACTTGTTTTCCTGTCACCCAGAGATGACAGCCGCACTGTGATTGGCCCAAATTGCATCCATTCTGTTGTCCAATCTTAGCTCAGCTTTCTTTTTGTTGGGGTCAGAAAAACAAAAGGAAAGATGGGAGCTGAGTTGCGATTGATCAAGCTGTCACACATCTGACAGTTATTGAGAGTACATGCATGCTGCTGATTTTCTGTAGTGTGGATAGGCAAAATACTCATGAATTTCACCATTTTAATGAGGATATAAGGTGAATGAACCTCCCCAAATGATATCGAACGTCATTAAGATGGCATGTATGAAATTTTCTTGCACAAATAGCTGTGATGGCAGAGATAGGTGGCACAATAAAAAAACATAGAATGTTGTACATCGATATTTTTAATTAAGTAAAATAAACGTTACAGTTCTAGAAGTATCCCAAACGAATCCTAATCTCAGATCAATGCATCAACGCCAGTAATTAAATCAGTATTCGTTTTTTTAATGCTTGTAATGGTCTTATCAGGACAAATAAGGAGCTAATGTAGCTGCTATTTAGTAAACAAAATGACACATATCGTATAAAACAGTAAACTCAAACTTACGGTCTTTCCAACAGATAAACGGTATCTTTAGTTTGAAAATCCGCGGCTTAAGTCACATGACTCCAAGGTTCATGAGAAAACCCAAATGAACGCTCAAACGAAATAAAAGACCAGACAATGGTATTATAAATATACATTTATCAGGAATAATGCATTATTTATTAGTGCTTTATACTTTACTATACTAATCTTTATACACTTTGGGCATACAGCAGACACGCTCAATAAGCCTTTCATGCGAGTTAAATTTGAATATAATCTGATACCTGAGTTATCTGATTGCACATAAACATAACAATTTGAATTCCCCAGACTAATGACGCTGTTGCTATACCTCGTGATTCGGGGCAAGCTTTTGCTTAGCGACCAAAATCTCTGGAATGGACTGGTTCCTTTGTGCCCTTCTTATCATTGAGAACAGTGTATGAAGGCAAGGCGTCTCTTATGTAACTAAGCAAAGGCTTGTCCGAATCATGCGGTATAGCAACAGTGCCAATTCAAATTCTTGTGTTCACGTGAATTTAAAAAACGTATGTCAGAGTACCAGATTTTATTGAAATTTATAGTCTACAAAAGCGAGACACTCAAGAAGATTGCTGAAGGGGCGAATCTGGGAATTTTCCCAGGGTAGGGTCAGACCGGAGATTTTATTAATTAAATGTCTCAACGTATGAGAACAAGCGGAAACGATGATGAAACATTATACATGACATGCATTGTTTACAATTTATTGTGTACTTCCTCAGTTTTTTTTTATTATTCTTTTCTTCATTTTCACCTTTTCTTTTGGTTTCAGAGCGGAGTGGGGGAGGGGGGATCTACCCCCACCGTCCCAGATCTGTTCCTGGAAGTGTTTATTCGATATTGTCATTGGTTATCATGTTTCCAACCATTTATATTTCTGCTGCTTCAAATTTTGTAATTTTTCGGAACAGATTTGTTTTAAAGGTAAAATTTGATTAACAAACCCCCAACAGCTTTATTGGAGGTTTCTTTTTTCCTGTCAATCAACTATGTCAAACATCTGAAACATACAAACTAATTGTTGCCATGTCGCATGCAGTCTCGTCGTCCCGGATCGATTTTCAAATCCCGGCTGGGTAGCCTCCTTTCCGGTCGTCACTGTAAGCTCTCCAGAATCCATGCGCGTCTCGCATTATGCCTTGTACCACGCAGCCTCTGGTAGACTCGTAAGGGTAATGACCTTTTGCTCTCAAACCATCGATGACGTCCTGAACACAGGCGAGATCACTTTATTATCATGATGGCAAAGAAAACTTTGGAGCGTACAACTTGAAAGATATTGCTCTGTTATTAACATGAAAGATTGTAGAGTTACCGTAACAAAATATATATATATATATAGGCCTATAGGCCTATATATATAAAGCAAAACAACCCAACAAACAAACAAAAAACAAACAAAATTCATGCTTCATAAGTGTGATTCGCCTAAAATCATGAATAGATTGTTGAGGGCGTCCTTACCTGATTAAAACCTGCTTCATAGGTGACATTATTTGGAACCAACTGATGATGGAAACGCCTGCGTTGGATCGCATCTTTTATGCTGTCACCATACCACAATGCATCTACGGATACCTGTTGACCGAAAGGGATTTCGAAGACAATATTAACACTTAATGTTTACAGATGTTAAAACCACAGGGACACTTTAATACATCTGCTGACGATGGATACAATATATTCTAATTCCTGCTGTTACAGAACGTTAGCTGTTAACATATTCACTAGATTTTAGCATTACATAGTATCTAATAATATTCATATTTCTGTTAATACCACTGCAAAAGTCTACTGCTTTATGCATAACACTGGTAAGAGCATGTACTGTGATTATGCATCCATCATTGTGGTCACTTCTCCTGTTGAAGTTAATGACTATTGAATATGAGCATCACAGGGACTTTGGGAGGGTATACCAATTTTTTCAAGGGGAAACTTTCCGCGTGATAAACATAGGATGTTAGTTTTGATCTTATTCAACAAATTGGTGTTTTTCACCTTCTTTCTCATTTTTGTCATCTGTTGCTTACTTTTTCCTTTCAAAACATATGTGATTCAAAACTGCTGCAAACTGCTTGCTGGCTACAGTGGCCTAAAAATTGAAATCACAGAAGAAGGAGGACTTTAAGGTATGAACTCAGCACACTCTTTCTCAAAGGCAAAAAAAAAAGGTTCTTCGGCACGGTTTTGCCTTGCGAAAGATTTTGCTGAGATCAAAACGTCAGGATTTACTTCTTTTGTTTTTGTTCCGTTTCCCCCATTTTTAAGGGGTGAGCAAGCGCCTACACCCCACCTCCCTCACGACACCCATGCTTTTGAAGTTAACATCGGCGTGGTGCACGACATTTTAGCGTTCAGTTCATGATGCTTTGAAACTAGCAAGCCTATGGCAGGTAAAAAGTTCCAGACTACAGACCCTTTTCACCTAGATTGCGCTAAATGTAAACAATACCACCACGTGTGGACCGCCTCGGCCACGGTGATCGCATATATTCCTATGGGCAGCTTCAACCACGTGCAAGCGCACGTGCGAATACCGCATGCTTAGACTAGTTTAAATAAATCTATTAAGTAGCTTACTATCACAACACTATGCACTCATTACCATCATAACACATCATTAGTCCAGCACGATCGTGACATCACTGGGAAAAGGTTTATGTAGTAAACTCTGTGAAATCGCACTCGCGGAATTATGGAAGATAAATTTGTGTACCTGCGCCACACCAGTGGTAATGCGTGTACCTCCGGATGCACCAACCACAAGTTTAACTTTGCCTTCATGATCCAAAACTATGGTGGGTGTCATGGAGGACATTGGTCGTTTTCCTGGCCGGATGAAATTTGAAACGGAGGGCGGGACGCCGAAAGCGTTCGGTTCTCCGGGCTTTGAGAAATCATCCATCAGATCGTTGAAGAGGATTCCTGTCCGATTGCCACGAACTTTGGATCCAAAACTGGACAAAATGGTCAGGGGTCAGTGATAGGTCAAATTGATTCTGATGATCTAGTATTCTTTAGTTTTCACAGCTTATAATCCGTGACTATTTGGCGAAGTAACGAAAGGTATACACAGATGTAATTTCCCTTTGTTCCAAATGTGATTGCATATAAATATATATTCTTTGTAATTTACATATTGTTTTTTTTACTTACTAAAGGTTTATGGTGCTTGTCGCAGCTACAGCATTGCCGTATGTATCAACGACCGACAGGTGAGATGTGCCGCCATCAGGCTGATTGTAGTAGGCAGTATAGTAAGAAGGATCGTGAGACATGTTGTCATCAATAGCGGCTCGTAAGGAGTCTGCATAAGACTGTGACGTCATGTTTGCAACGACCTGGAGACCAAAGAAACCGAAGCTCCAATGTTTAATGGCTTACAGGAATTCTATCAAACAGGGCGACCATTGTTGATTCAGGTACATGTCAAATCTTATTAATATACAGCAATTCTCGGCCCTGGGAAGAAACTCATATCACACTTTGCCACCAATAATCCTCTTCAGATTCCTTGTTTTTTTTTATGATTCTCGTAGCCTATGAGCCCCAAGCTGGACCAGGAGAAGGCGCAATTTCTTTTAGCGACAGAGGCTCCAATGGTGTGAACTGCACTTCGCTGGTTCACGAATGACTCTGCACGCGTTACAGTTGCATCATACCAACCTCTTTTCAGCCGATGACGGGTGCTTCTTTTCAAGGCGGATAAAAAATTAATAAAGTTAGGGTTGGCCCTTTTTGGCAACTGTACCACACTTTGTATACTCTACTTCACCCATATCTTTTTACACCAGGCAACTCACTTCTTTGACATCAACGTAGTCTTCATCTCCAAGAAATGATCGACCTGCATACGCGAACTTGAAAGCCTCTACCATACGATGAGTTGTCAAGATTTCAGCTTCAGTTGTAGCAATGCTATCTGGACCAATGCCATAACCTAGAAAATGCATAATTATTGGTTACAATACGAATTAAAATGAGTCCAAACGAAACGAAAAGGCACTTTGTGTCACTCGAAAAGAGAAAGTAATTGGTATTGCTGCAAATTGAGCGAAAAAAAGACTGTATACTTACATGAGTTTGAAATAGCACGAAACGGAGAGCGACGTTAGTTAAAAAGTAGAAACAACATGAGGCACAAAACAAGGCCAAAATTTAACAGCAGTGTGATAGACGATGACACATCAACATCTCATTGATGAAATGGAAAACTGCACATTATTTGAGACTTACACAAAAAGAAACAAGACATATGAACAGTTGAGAAGAAATGATCAATCAAGAAAAGAGATATAGTATTAAAACAAGATAGAGAAGGTCACACTTGAAGATATTGAATAACATTAATTAATTAGGAGAAATTTTAACAGAATAACGTGACTGGTCTATGATAATTTGACGCCTAAACCAATAGATTTACCCTGGAGGATGTTCATTATGAGTGCATACACGGCACCACTGCCTGGTGGGGGAGGCGAGTACACCTTCATACCATCCAACTCAAACATCAATGGTTCCTTCCGTCGTACTTGATAATTTTCTAGATCTGCCTTTGTAATGATACCACCTAGGAAGAAAGTTCAGTAAAATCACAGTCGTTTCCAGATACAATGATAAATTTTAACGATCAGGGTCCGGATTTGAACACAGGTTGTTCAAACATCGACTACAAATGAATAACAATCCATACAAAATCAGTGTCAAGGGCTCTACTCCAGATTGCATTAGTCACCTCTATCGGCAATGTCGGCCACGATGTCATCGGCAAGATCTCCTTTATAGAAAGCATTCTCTCCACCCTCTGCTAGTTTCTTATAAGTTTCAGCCAGTTTGATGTCGACCAGTGTATCTCCTTCCTTCAGAATCTCCCCTTCTGAGTTCAGAAAAATTTCCCTTGAAAAAAAGTGGAATAAAAGTTAAATTGAACCGCTTAGGAAATTATGTTGAAATTGGTAAACGGGGATGAAAATGTTATGAGGTGATTTACGTTTACTGGAGAAAGTCACTTTTTGGTACACTGTACTTTAGAGTTCATGCTTTTCAATCCAAGAGCACATGAAAGAGGGCCCTGAAAGAGAACCTGTATTCTGTTTGAAACAATCTTCAAGATATTTTGACTTGCTAAAAA